CACTGCCTGTTGCACCAGCATCCTATTTGTGTTTAGTCCCTGACCTGGCTGCTCTACTTCCAATTCTTCCTGCTAATGCACCTGAGAAAGCAGCGGCAGTTGGCCCACCCCCTTGGTTCACTCTACTCACGTGGGTGACGTGGGTAGAGTTCCAAGCTCCTGGGTTTGACTTGGCCCAGCCCTGGCAAGTGAGGCCACTCTGGGAGTGAACCAGTGGATGGAAATCCTACTGTTTTTTCTCTCTATTTTCGTTGGATTTTCTAGGAGATAGTAAGGAGAGTTTCACCTGACTCCAAGTTTGTTTGAACTATGGAGGGAAGGAATGGAGATGGGGTTATTTTCTCTTACCCCTTAAATTGTGCATTTTTCTGAATAGCACGTATGATCTTCAAATGTCTTGTATGCTTCACATATTTTGATTTTAGATGGGTTTCTTCCACTTAGAATGTGTCATCCAAGAGGATAGAAGCTGCTGTTATTGTACAAACCTAAAATCATGCATGGTGCAGATTGGGTGCTCAACACATGTTTTTTTGATTGAGTGAACGAGTGCTGTTTCCATAAAGAGCTTTTGTAACTGACTCCAGAGTGCATGCGTTTGTTTCAGATGTTGAGCGTGAGTTGAAATACACAACTGGAAGTTCCTTGTCTTTTTTTAAAAAAGACATGCTTATTTATATGAATGGCAGAGTGACTGTATGTGTGTGATTATCTATCTATCTATCTATCTATCTATCTATCTATCTATCTATCTATCTATCTATCTATCTATCTATCTATCTATCTATCTAGAGAGCTGTCTCTTCTGTTTGCTGGATAACTTTCCAAATAGCTATAACTACTGAGGTTGAGCCAGAATCCTGGGACTCTATTTCCCACGTTGGTGGCAGATGCCCAAGTACTTAAGATGTATTCTACTGCTTTCCCAGGTGCATTAGCAGGGAGCTGGATTGGAAGTGAAAACAGCTGGGACTTAAACAAGTGCTCTGATATAGGGTGTCAGCATCACAAGCAGCAGGTTAACTCGTGCACCAGGACACTGGCCCCTACAAGTTCTCAAAATGTCCAGCTTCACAACCACTCTGATGAGCAGATCTCATATTAGCAGTCCATGGTACTGGGTGGTCATGGAAGACACAATAGAAGATGGATGATGGCAGAGGAAGCCAGAAAATGGGCGCTTTGGAAAGTGCCTTCTCCTGGTTTTCCTGTTGCCAGGGATCTCCCTGCCTCTGAAGAGGATCTGGTGTCATTGGCACTACGTGTAGATTTCTTCTGTGGTCACATCCCAGAAAGTGAAGGGGGATGTCAGAACTTAGTGACATTTTCTGTGTGACTTAGCCACAAGGTACATGAAAGGAAATGAGTGTGGATCTATGAACATCTCAGAATGAGCTGATGCTCAAACGGGGCACCAGATAGATTCTGAGCAAAGCCTGCTGGACCTTGTGCCTACTGAAGCACCCAACAGGTGGGATACATGTAGGGAAGCAGCCGGCAAGGGGCGCTTAGATCTGTTCCGGATGAGAAAACGTTCAGAGAACTGGGATGATTCTGTTCAAGAACAATGTGAACACTGGCTTTACATAAGGGGTGGACTCTCCATGTGGGAGAGGCATTGGAAGTTTCTGGGGCCCAGCGCCATAGGGAGGTGGTTAACATCCTCACCTTGCATGCGCCGGGATCCCATATCAGCACCAGTTCTAATCTTGGTGGCCCCGCTTCCCATCCAGCTCCCTGCTTGTGGCCTGGGAAAGCAGTTGAGGACAGCCCAAAGCCTGGGGACCCGCACCCATGCAGGAGACCTGAAAGAAGTTCCTGGCTCCTGGCTTCGGATTGGTTCAGCTCCAGCCGTTGTGGTCACTTGGGGAGTGAACCATCAGACAGAACAACTTTCCTCCTCTCTGTATATCCACCTTTCCAATAAAAATAATTAAATCTAAAAAAAAAAAAAAGAAGTTTCTGGAGCCTCAGGCTGTAAGAACTGAAGGGTAGAAATATTTTCTACACTCAAATTATTGCAAAATGGCTGCTGGGGGAGCTGCTTCTGGGTCTCAGGACCTGTGCAACTCCTGGTTTGGTGTGATGAGCTCAGATGCTCACTGGAGCCAACCAAGGGCCTGGAGTGAGGATGGGCTCTGGTTCCAGATCACCTACCACAACCTTCCATTTCTTGGCTTCCCTCCGGTTAGCTATTTTTCTATCTCCTTTAGGACATTTCCTCTGGAGCCCAGGATTCTAAGTCCTAAGAATCTGTATCATAGAAATAGACAAGTACTCAGGGATCTAGGCCTGAGGATGTTGCTGTCTGAGTTACAGAACTGCTTGAAAGGCAAAAAAAAAAAAAAAAAAAAATGTGGGAGCAACCTGAATGGCAACTAAAAAGGAAGAGCTGAGGACATTCTGATGTGGACATCCTGTGGACCAGCAGCCCAGTATTGTAGGAGTTGAGGACGTTCTGATGTGGCCATCCCGTGGACCAGCAGCCCGGTATTGTAGGAGTTGTGGACGTTCTCATGTGGACATCCCGTGGACCAGCAGCCCAGTATTGTGGGAGTTGAGGACGTTCTGATGTGGACATCCCGTGGACCAGCAGCCCAGTATTGTGGGAGTTGACGATGTTCTGATGTGGACATCCTGTGGACCAGCAGCCTGGTATTGTGTGAGTTGAGGACATTCTGATGTGGACATCCTGTGGACCAGCAGCCCGGTATTGTAGGAGTTGAGGACATTCTGATGTGGACATCCTGTGGACCAGCAGCCCAGTATTGTAGGAGTTGAGGACGTTCTGATGTGGCCATCCCGTGGACCAGCAGCCCAGTATTGTGGGAGTTGAGGACGTTCTGATGTGGACATCCTGTGGACCAGCAGCCCGGTATTGTAGGAGTTGAGGACCTTCTGATGTGGCCATCCCGTGGACCAGCAGCCTGGTATTGTAGGAGGGAGTTATTTCTATATTGACTGTCCTAGCGAGATAGATGGGATTTATGGAACCGCGAGGAAGGTAAGAGAAGCATGTGTTGGGGGAGTAGATCTTCGAGTATAAATGGCATTGTTAACAGTGACTGGAGAGCTTGGGGGTTGCACGAGGTAGTGAGGGGCCCTGAGAGACAGGGAAGAGGAGTAGACAAGAGTGGAAAAACGAAGGGGCTGGCCTGGCTGTCTGTATATTTTCTATCTATCAGTCTGTCTACCTACGTACTAATCTTCTGTCTACCATCTATTATATCCTTTGTCTGTCAGTGTATCTACATCTATCATTTACCTGTCTATTATCTATTAATCATCCATGAATTTATCATCTATCTTGTCTATGCAACCTATCCTATCACTTGTCTGTCTAGCTAGCTAACTATTATCTATCTCTACTCCATGGTTATGTTTAGACCTGTATTAATTTAGCAGACTTTAATAAAAGAAGCATCTCTTTTCCCTTAAACATTAATCCCATCTCTGTTCCTGTTGTTCCTCTCTTATAAAAACTGTCTGGATCTTTTTTAAGAAGATGACACACAGGTTTTATAATTTAAAAATCTGTACATATTCATCATTAAAGGTGATAGTTTTAACAAATCTGAAGGAGATTCAGGGAATGGTTCAAGAGAAAATGTTATGAATTGAGATTGGATTTCTGGATCATTATGAATGATGAATGGCTTGAAGGTCATTTGCATTTTTCTAAGTTGCTTCTTTGCTGTAGGCAAGATGTCCACGTTCCTCCCGATGCTTTAGAAAAACGTTTCCTTTCTTAAACCTAGGGAACATAGGTTTAAATAGGAGCACTCAGTTAAAATAGGAAATTTGCTAGTTCGTGGGGGAGGTACAGCACTAGCACTAATGTGTGTGTGTGTGTGTGTGTGTGTGTGTGTGTGTGTGTGAGAGAGAGAGAGAGAGAGAGAGAGAGAGAGATCACCTTCTTGGCTGAGACAGCCAGCGAGATGCTGCTGTGTTTTCTTGTGAAGTGGATGCTGTCAAACTTCTTAATTGCCTTCTCGATTGAATTATTCTCATTATACATTTATATTTGTTGCAGATGATTCTTTCTACATTAGCATTTTTGTTTATATCCGGACTAGCTCAGATACTGTAGAAATGGCTCGCGATTCTACCCCTGCCTTCTTCAAAGGAGTCTGGAAGATTTGGCTTTATGTTTACGTTTGGATGTAGACTCAGAGCTCATCCTGGTAGCTCTGCTGGCACAAACGGGCGTGAACAGGATGTCAGCCACCCATGAAAACAGAAATATTAATCACCTTATTTGTTTGATTTTAAGATTGTTCATTGTATAGGTACTTCACTTGAATTCATTTATTAAGTTAATATCAAAAGTATTTGTTTTAGAAAGAAGATATTGGAAGCCCAGTGGAATAGTATTAACTGGTTGTGGAGTTGTGGATATTTGACGCAATAAGAATATCCCAGAATCATAAACCTCAACTAGAATTGCACAGTTATTATCTCTGTAGAACTGAATAGTACTGTCTTGGTTCAGACAAACCAGAGAATGACAAAAGTGTTGATTTTCATATAGGTGATTGCCTACTATGCAGATAATTCAAAAAATCTACAGAGTAAGATCTACGCATGGCCGACTCTCCTTTTTTAAAAAATAAATTTAAAAACCACTTCTGTTTTTAATTCAAAGGCATCATCATTTGAGGGGAAGTATCAGGTGCAGTAACATCTCTGCCTCATGAGCCCGCAAAGCCTGTATGATGCTTATGGACCGTTTATCTGTCACAAGGGGCTGGGGAGAAGCCGATGAGAAAGTGTTTCATGCGGAGTAGTTGGGAGTGCAGCCAGGCTGCTTCTGTTCTGTGCTGGCTGGGGGCATCCTCCTGGCAAGTGTTTCCTTGGAGTTGTATTGTTACTGTCACTCTGTTTTCTTGGGCCCTTGCCCACAGGCCCATCTGTGAGGCCCCCTGGCTGACGTTCTGTGGGTATCTGAGTCCCTGGTCTTCTTGCCACATTTCTCATGCTTTTTCTTTGTGATGTTTCAGCTCATCCACCATATACCATGTGCTTTAGAGTGAAATTCTACCCTCATGAACCCTTGAAGATTAAAGAAGAGCTCACAAGGTATTTTCCATTTATTTGTATGTCTCCTGTGTACCTTTTCCCAGCCAGGGCCTGGAGTCCAGCCGGCCAGACAGGATTCCCGGTCCCAGACTGAGGACTCTACCCCAGCAGGTGCTGAACTCCGCATTTAGCTCCCAGTTTTTTGCTTCCATTTAATTGTCTGGAGATTGGTTTCAAATAGTTGTCACTGGAAGTGTAATTAACTGTGAAAAAAACCCAGAGGTTATGAGTGGGATGTATGCTCTGGAAGCATCTGAGAGTGGGGTTCTAAAAATAAACAGAAGTTGGCTGGATGTTTTGGTGGCTCCCCCCTCACTGGTGCAGCCCTGGCCTATCTCGTCCATGTTGTGCTGGGAGCGGCCAAGGTGCTTGGTAGAAGGGTGGGCGCGGCCAAGGTGCTTGGTAGAAGGGTGGGCGGGTTGTGCTGCTCTTTGCTGACAGAATGGCAGCCAGGGGAAGGTATCCCTGTACCCGTAGCCCAACTCTCTGGACGGATTCCCTTGCTGCTTTCCTAAGCTCCTCTTCCTGAGTTACCTTTGGCTGACCTGTGGGAGCTCTGCTTCCATAAACAATGTGCTGCTGACAGGACCCCAGGGGCTGGAGTGGCAGTGGTGGTTGGAGGTGAACACTGTCATGTGCTTGGTTCTTGATCAGGCTGTGATTTAGTGATGCCCAAAGTCACCGAGTATAATCAGCTCTCAGGATAATCTGCCTAGGTGCAGAAGCAAATGCCATTCTCCCTGCTCACTGGCCATGGGGGTGGGGTTTGGGATTCTCAAGAATTCTGCTTTGTACCTCCGTCTCTGGTAGCGCTCCATGGTAGCAGCGCTGAGAGAATGTGTGAGCCCATTCTGTGTTACTCATATGTCCACAATTGCCTGGAGACGTCTGTGCTGGGGAGAGGTGTGTGTGTGTGTGGGGGGCTAAACAGGAAGGATGACAGATGGTGGACATTTGACATGCTGTTGGGTATTTTGCACTCTGGCCTGCCTTTTTCTTTCTGTTAAAGGAACACTTCATGTCACGGATTGATTCCTCCACTTCGAAGTGTACACCTTAGTGACATGGAGTATGTCCACAGTGTGTGGTTCCAGAATATTCTCTTCTCCCCTGAAGCAGTAGTCCTGTGCCCCCAAACTGCCCCTGCCCATTCCACTTCTCCCAGCCATTGGCAACTACTCCCTTGCATGGACAGCCTACGCATGGCATGTCATTAGAAACAGAATCACATGGTGCTGTGGCCTTGGCTTGCTTCAGGTATAAAAACTGTTTTTTGATAAATTCATCTTCATTTCCTTGTCCAGATGAGTGAGACGGGGTGGCGGTAGAGGTGGTCCACTTAGAAGGTGACAGCAGTGTGATTTGGAAGAGCAGATAAAATACTAATCTCTCTTTCATCATCATAATCTGCTTTCTAATCTGGTCTAGAGAGTAAGCATTGAATATATACCACCTGATAAATTAAAGAAAGATTTTTTGTTGTTGAGCAAAGTCCCTTTTGAGAGTAAGAAAGCATACAGCTCTAGTTAAGGACTCCAGTGAACTGCCTCAGTTAAATTCACTAGCGGTTTTCTGCCTTGGACGGAATAGCTGTGGACAGTTGAATCTTTCCGAAGGAAACTAAAATAGTCCTCTGCCTGCCTATGGGGAGAAATGGGCTTTTCTTAATCAACACAGTCCTTGGAGTTCCAAACCAATTTAGAAACCAAAGAAATCCTTGAGTCCATACTGCTTAAATGCTCATCTTGATGACATTTGATTTTCTTCTTGTAAAGTTAATGTACAATTTGAGAAGTTGAGCTTACATTCATTGCCATGCTTTTGATAAAGCATGCTTCGGAGTCAAGACATGGGCATAAGCAAGGAAGTTTACAAGAGTGAGAGCAATTATATCCCTAAAGAGGATGTTGGAGATGTCTTTTTGTCCTTCACTTCCCTGTTTAAACACTCATCTAAAATCCTGATTCCTGGGTCGTCATCTACAAATACTATATGCGATTGAATATTACCAGAAGCGTGCTAATTTTAATTTTTAAAGTAAGAACAATCTCTAAATTCGTGTTCAGTAGAGAAGTAATATAATGAAAATGGTACAGTAAATTGTGTTTCAGACCCCTAGTGTTTTGTTGTGTAATACAGGAATGAAACTTTGGGGGAAAAAAAAGATGCATTATTGTTTTGGGAGCTCTTGCATTAGAAAATATGCATCCTAAATTTGAAACCATTTGGAAGGGTTGGTGGATTATGGTGACTCTACGGTAATCCCGCTTATGTCCAGAGCTCACTGACAGGAGGAGTGGCTGCGAATGCCGATGCTGTGAAAGCTGGCATCCGGAGTCCTGGCCCCTGGAAGCTTTCATTTTAGCCCTGATCTCTGAGTTGTGGGTTAAAATTCAGGCTCCCACTCCTCTGTAAATAGTTTCTGGGTCTCATGCAGTATCACCTGGGAATTCATCACAAACACAGATTCACGGCCCCTGCCCCAGACTCACTGACTCTAAAACCCTGGGTGGGAGAGGGGCACCAGAAATGTGTATTTTCATCATTCTCTTCAGGTGGTTCTGTAGCATTCCAGCATTTGAGAACTCGAAGGAAGATTGTATGTTCAGAAGTATTCATTTCCTGGGACAGGTGTGAAAAGTTCCAGTTTAGTGGTTTTTAGTCTGTTCTCAAGGATATGCCAACATAACCATGGTGATCTAATTGCAGAACATCCTTCTCACCCTTGTAGGTATAGATTTCCTATAAGCATCCTGCTTTTCTGCACTGCCCCTAGTTCCTGTGTATTCTGGACATTTCCTACAAGGCCACAATGGGGACTGACTGAGCGGTGCCCTTTTCTCCATCTCCAGTTCGTGCACTGATCCAGGGAGTGCCTCAGGCTCCTTCCCTAACACGTGCAGTAGTGTTCCTTTGACAAAATGCACCCCAAACCGAGATGGAACCGTGTGAGCAGCTGCCTTCCCCGCTGCTGCTCCTCCCAACCCCCACCTACCACCCCGACTTAGCTCCTCACGATGCTTTCCACCAAGAGCATCCTGTGGGCCACCTGGGCTGCCCGTGCCGGGTGCAGTACACAGTACAGCACAGGTGAGAAGTGAGGACTCCTGAATGAAAGCACTGGGAAGGCACTGCATCCACCCCAACATCCTGTGCTGCAGCACACCCGGCTTGCCGCTGCCCCGTGACCCTCACGCGTTAGTCATCCTCACTGGTAGCTCTACTTCCCAGCCTCTCCTGTGGAGTTGTGCCAGCTGCTCCTTGGAAGGCTGGGCAGTCACATGACCTGAACCCTGGAGGAGGGCATTAGAGTCCTCCAGGGAAACAGAACTGACAGGACATGGACACACACACACACACACACAGAGTTAAAAATTTGAAAAGTTCTGGGGCATATCAGGTTAAGCTTTCACCTACAGAGCTGGCATCTCATATGGGTACCAGTTCAGAGGCCCAACTGCTCTAATTCCAATGCAGCTCCTGCTAATGTGTGTGAGAAAGCAGCAGAAGATGCCTGAGTGCTTGGGTCCGTGCATCCACATGGGAGACCCAGAAGAAGCTCTTGGCTTCTGGCTTCAGACTGGCCCAACTCCAGTTTGCTGTGACCATTTGGGGAGTGAACCAACAGTTGGAAACTCTTTCTCTCTCTCCTCTCTGTAACTCTGCCTTTCAAATAAAAGTAAGCCTTAGAAAGAATGTGCTTAGAATGGTACTAATTTTTTTTAAGTTCATGGGAAGGCTCGTGAGTTTTCCTTTCCACTGTCAATGTCCTTTCCGAAGGCCCCTCATGGGTGTATGGAGAGATGATGAGATTTGCTGTGAGGAATGGGCTCGCATGGTTGTAGAGGCAGAGAAATCCTGGGATCTGCTGGCTGCGAGCTGGAGGCTGGAACCCTGGGTCAGGGTCCGAGAGCTGCTGAGCCGGGGTGTGAATTTCAGTGCATGGGTGAATGTCCACAGAGCAGGAGTGCTGACAGCAGGAGACTAATGTCCACGTGGAACACCAGGTGCAAGTGTACCTAACCTCCCTGTGCCTCACTAGATTAGATGGTGACCACCTGCTTGGCTCATCCATCAGATGCTAACTTCTGCGGACACAGTCTCATATTCACCCTGATGTCCTGTTGAACCACATGGCTCTGCATCCCACGGCCTAATCATGCTTACCCCTAAAATGACCTATTGCAAGGTAGTAACTGAGATGGATGATGGAGAGCTGTCCTTTCACTCTGCCCCAACCAAGAAAACAGAACCCTCTAAAGGAAGAGCAGAAGGCAAGTGTTTGCTGCAGTGGTGGACACCTGTGTCATACAGGAGTGCCTGGGTTCAGTGCTTGGTTCTGATATCTGACTTCCACTTGGTGCAACGTGCAGACCCTGGGAGGGTACAGATGATGGCTCAAGTACTTGGGTCTCATCGCCCATGGGGAAAATGTAAAAAGCATTCTTGGCTCCTGGCTTTGGTCAACCCAGACCTGCCCATCATGGGTATTTGGAAGAGTTAACCAGGGGTGGGGACTCTGTCTCCCTGCCTCTCAAATAAATAATATTTTAAAACACAAGTGTAGAAAAGAATCTACATACTCTCCTGAGATTAGATGGACAGAAACAATGTCTTGAGTGTTAAATAGAAATCCAGAGAGCTCAATTAGCATGGCAAACAGAAAGATCTTGGCAAAAACGATCTTGTTAGGACTGGCAGACTGGCGCCCTCTGGTGACCTCCTCTGGGGACTACAGTGTTTTTACAAATTTGGTTCTAACATTGCAGTATGCATATCTATTCCCGAATAAAAGGTGGGCTCCCAAATGAAACTGTTAAATATATTTTGACAACAGGATGCTGGATTTTCTACCATTCTCTATACCTGTAATGTCATGATAAACTTAGATAGAAGATTGATGGACTTGTGACTAGTGCTGAAGGACTACATTACAGGGGAAAACAGTTGGTAGGGGATGGAGGGGGATGGGGAGTGTGGCGGGGAAAATCCCTGAGTCTATAGAATTGAATCTTGAAAATAAAATAAAGTAAAATAAAAGTCATTGTAAGCCAGTCTTCTTGATTTGCTGCAAGAACTGGTCATACCTGGTCTGCCTTTCTGTGAGGTAACACTAGGCTGAATCCGTGCGGGGGCCAAACACTTCCTTGGGAGCTCCTGCCTTTCCCTTTGCTGCCAGGGGGCCCCTTCACCAGCCATTTCATGCCCCAGGTAGGCATATGACCTCACTGTTACTGTAGGTGTGGGTACTTGGCCAAGGGCAGCTCCAACTGTTAACCTCAGAACTGAGTCTTTTGCCACCAGTTGCTATGAGTCTGTTTGCTCCCAAGAAGCAAATGGGCTGGTGACAGTGGCCTTGGCCATCATCGTGTGGGAGTCCCTGTCCACAGCTCTAGCCATAGAGTCCTGTGGCTTGGCTTGGCTCCTTTCGTGCCTCTTGGCAAAGGCTAAGTAAGACTCAGCCCAGTTGGCTTTAGAAGCTGAAAAGTTCTGCTCAGCCCAGACACTTGAGGTTTTCTGAATCCACAGCCCCCCTCTCTGGGGTGTGGAGTCTCAGCTGCTTCTTTGAACAGGACAGGCTTCTGGTGAGCCCAGCAAATAAAGCATGGACAGCCCTTCTCCTTCCCTAGGTTTGTGCCAACCAAGACTCAGCATATTCTCGCCTTTTGTGTTGCAGGTACCTTTTGTACTTGCAAATTAAAAGAGATATTTTTCACGGCCGATTGCTGTGCTCCTTCTCTGATGCTGCCTACCTGGGTGCCTGTGTCGTTCAAGGTAAGTCTGACCCGAGCTCACCCACCCCTGCCTTTGTCGTCCCCTCCCCTCCATCTATACCAGTGTCTGTGATTAGGGGCCAGTAGCGACCTGGGAATTTAACAACAGAGCCCCTCTTCACCATCAAGCCACTGGGGCCCAGGAGGAAGGCTGAGCTGAGATGTCCACAGATAATTTGCAATCATGAAAGCACATGGCGCAAGATCAAATTCTGAGTCTCTTGCAAATGAGCTACGTTGTACTGTGTCACAAGAGGCTCTGGCCAAAGGCAGGGAGGTGTTCTGTGTCCTGAGCTTTGACTGTCAAGTATGGGGGCTAAGAGGTACGTTTGGGTATAGGAGGGGGGTTGAAACTGAGTGTAGAAAGTCAGGTGTCAATCAAAGGAATTATTCTGTGAATCTATCTTCCTTCCTTTCTTCCCTCCTTCCCTCACTTCCTTCCTTCCTTCCTTCCTTCTTTCTTTTCTTCCTTTCTCTCTCTCTTTCTTCTATTTGGGAAAGGTTGGTTGGTCATGTATGATAGGGTCTTGCTCATGTGTTTGTTTATTCATGGGTTCTAATGGATGACTTAGTGGTCAGCATTGCACTTCTAAGACCTGATGGGCTGTGGACTGGGCACTTGCTTCTAATAACTCCCTCTGGCTGCTCAGAGACAGATAGCTTGAAGATGCTTCTGTGCAGTCTTATGCTACTGAACAACAGGGGCCATTGCGAGAAATACAGGGCTTGGCAATTCCTTCACTGGCACCCTTGATTTTAGCCTCGTAGGCTATGATATACATGGTTGTATATCATTGGCTTTGAAGAATGATGGGCCAAATCTGAGTGCAGGCAGCTCCATCCAGGGAATCCCTAGACTCAGACAGACTATGAGATGCTAAAGAACCTTGAGAAAATCTCATTGTTTCAACCAGGGGTAGCACTACCTACTATCCTGGAAAAGTTTAGAAATACTGGGAGGAACATTAACTTTAAAAAAAAATTACTCTTATTTGAAAAGCAGATTTACAGACAGAAGGAGAAATAGAGAGAGCTTCCATCTGCTGGTTCACTTCCCAAGTGGCCACAGTAGCCAGAGCTGAGCTGATCTGAAGCCAGGAGCCAGGAGCTTCTTCTGAGTTTCTCATATGTGTGCAGGGGCTGAAGGACTAAGGGCATTCTCCATTGCTTTCCTAAGCTGTAAGCAAAGAACTGGACTGTAAGTGGAGCAGTCTGGTCATGAACTGGCTCCCATATGGGATGCTGGTGCTGTAAGGTGGAGGATTATCCTGTTGAGCTACTGCAACGGTCCAGGAACATTAACTTTTTCTACTTTTTAAAAAATGTAACAAATAAACATTTCAAACAGTGATGGCACACGGCCCGTTGTTTTGAAATATACATATGTTGTGGAGTGATTAAATTGAGCTCACTGACAGGTGCGTTAGTTCACATACTTGCTGTTTTTTATGTTATGTTAAAATCTGTTCTCAGTGATTTGTCAAACATACAATACATGGTTATTATTCTGCACAGTAGATCTGCTAATCATATTCTTTCTGTCTAATCGAGATTTTGAAATTTAGGGCTAACTTCTTGGGGAGGTGGATGTGACGTAGAGGGCATCATGAGTCTGCTCCTAGTATTTAGTGCCTGAAGGCTAGAGATACTAATTACCCTGTAATTCCTTGCAAAGTCTCAGTAAGATCATCTAGACCCCAACATGCCCACAGTGCTGTCCTGCACAGATAATGACTGAGGGTGTTTTATTGTACAGGTACCAAACACTTGATTGCCAGAGGTTTGACAAGCCCAAGTGCATTTTGAGTTTCCACTCCAGATACTCAGCCCAGAAACTTCCATGGGGACAAACACACTGGTCTCCTGGGTGGCAGGGTTCACCCCGCATACTCCCTACTCTTGATTTGCTTTGAATCCTTCTCTTTGCTTTCTGCTGGTTGCAGCTGAGCTGGGGGATTACGATCCTGATGAGCATCCTGAGAATTACGTCAGCGAGTTTGAAATTTTCCCGAAGCAATCCCAGAAGCTGGAACGAAAAATCATGGAGATTCATAAAAATGAACTCAGGTAAGAGGGGTAGACGTTGGTGGACAACGTGAGAGGCGAGGACGTCTTCTGCCTGCGGGAATGTGGAAGTGTGGTGGGAAACAAGAGTGTCCCTGATACGTGGGTGGACTCTCCCGGGGGGCGGGGCAGTATTTCTGGTGCTGTCAAGGACACCATATAGTTCCCACCATCAATGTGTGCCTCAGTGGCAAGGGCTCCCCGGGAGCCTGCTTATGATCCGCCCTGGTTATTAGAGCCGTACATCTCCCTGCGTATGTGGGTTTCTCAAAGCAACACCCAAGGTAGATAAGTTCATTTGGGGTTTGCATGGCCAATCCTAGCTGCGACCATGGCTGGAAGCACTGGCTCCAAGGACAATAAAATCCATCCCAAGGGTCCCTTGGTGGAGCTGCCTTCAAGATGGCAGATTTACTGGCCACTCCCCCTTCTGTTGGTTGTAGGACTTGGGGACTGTCCCCTCTCAGATATGGTGGCAGGAGTTGCAAAATTGCAGGCAATGTTCATGCTGTGCCAGACACTGTTCTAAGCACGCTGCACTGATTAGCGTCTTTAGTAAGCCATGGCTCTAGGTGCTCTAGTTACTGCTGTGTTGTAGAAGAGGGCATTCATGCTCAGAGTGGCTAAGCAGCTACCCAGAGCCACACAGCAAATAAGTGTGGGAACCTGCATGGGAATTTAGGCAGCTAGAGATTAAGCACTGTGGGACGCTTTCACACCGCACAGGCTCCTGGGAACAAAATGAAGCATGCAAAGAAATCATCACCTAGAATTCAAGTAACTCTGGTGCTCTAGTCTGTAGCAACTCCTTTTTGTAACTATAGAAAAATACATTTTGAGAACAGTATCAGTCATGAAGGGGGTTATGACAAATGTTGATGAAGAACTGCAAGAGTGGAGAGATATTTGTCTTCTGGGCCTTTGGTTGTTATAAAGAAGCAGTGTTACTGGGGCAGGAATCACAGGGCAATTAAATCTCAGGGGGTGGGGTGGTGGTAGTGGGGGGGAAAAAGTGCACAAACTCCCTGCCTCAGGCAAGCACTCCCCCTCCTGGTGAGTCTGAGAAAAGCATGCATGCACGCTGTAGGTAGAGACTCCACTTGAGATACAGGCGATCAGCTCTCAAAATATTGTACTGATTTAAGAAAGCCTCATATCTCACTCCCCTTTTTTGGAAAAATTTATTTATTTTTATTAGAGAGGTAGATTTACAGAGAGGAGGAGAGACAGACAGGATGATCTTTCATACTATGGTTCACTCCTCAATATGGTTTTAATGGTCAGGGCTGAGCCAGGTGGAAGCCAGGAGCTTCTTTAGGGTCTCCCATGAGGGTACAGGATTCCGAGGATTTGTGCTGTCCTCCATTGCTTTCCCAGACTACAAGCAGGGAACTGGAAAGGAAGTGGAGCAGCTGGGATGTGAACCCATGTGGGATGCTGGTACTTGCTAGGATTAGCCAATTGAGCCATCACCCTAGCCCTCACGTGCACTTTCTATGTATGTGAAACATTCGCGGCTCCTTTTGCATTGTAGAGACAAGTACATTAGAGGTAGTAGTGAATTTCCAGAATTCTAATGGAGGTGTTTGTGGTGTGGCATTGCCCTAGGGACCATACAGTGAGCACAGTTGGAGCAGAGTCGACTGCAGAGTGATAAGAGAGGAGCATAGGAAAGTGCTCCTTAAGCAGCTATGCAGGGCCCCAGGTGTCCAAGGTACATGATAATAGTGAACATGTTTTGGGCACTTACTGCATGTCAGATACCGTGCTGAGAGCTTTGCATGAGTCGTCCTGTTTAGTGCCTCCAAAAGGCAAGGGGAGTTCAAACCAGGACAGCCCTGTTGGTGCCACTATATGGACATAACTTGACATTCATAGGCATGCATGTATGTACCTCTGTGCTGGAGTCAGGTTGTTGGAGTGTTTCGTGGTGATCACCGTGGCAGTGATGGCCGAGGGCAGAGATGAGGAGGACCAGTTAGTGATTTCTACTTTCCGCACAAGAGACACCAAGGACCTAAGAAATGATGGAAGTAGGGCAATTTGGAAGAAAGGGAATTTTGGCAGACATTGCAGCATGACTTGGAGAGCCACTGGATTGCATGGGGAAAGGAATGAGTCAAAGAAGGGAAGCTGTACCTTGGATCCTGCACCAACATCTGGGTTTCTGGCATTCTGAAAAGTAGTCATTCTGCCTTCAAGGAATGCCGGGAATGCATTTGACCAGCTGTAGTCTATGAAACTTGGAAGTGAGCTTTGTGGTTTGAGCAAAGCTGTGGTACATGTGACACCACAGGAGTATCCTAAGAGCCCTTGCGTCCAAGTCCACATTGGACGTCTGAATAAAGGAACTGCTGGCATCAAGTGGTATTGTAAGGACAGTTGGGGTGGAGATGAGGGATCCCTCTGTGTTTTTGTTCACCTGTTGTTGTTTATTCTCTCTCAGTGTAGCAGAAAGAGTTGTTAGGTTTGGAGAAGAACAACAAGCAGCTGCTAGTACAGATGGAGAGAGACAGATGAGGAATGTGAGGTAGGGCATGAGGCCTTGGCAGACCCAGAGCAGCCTCAGCCCCACACAGGTGGAGAACACGTTGCTCTTGCATGGGGAACCCAGTGTTTGGTAGGTTGCAGCGCATGGTACTAGGAAGGAGTCATGGGTGGAGAAGACTCACTTAAGCTGTGCCTGTGTGGCCAGCCCCTCCTTCGGTCCCAGCTGTCCAAGCACCTCTGGGCTGGACACAGCAAAGGATTCATAGCCAGGGGCTGACTTGTTACAGACCCTTTCTAAGAGGATTCCTGTTTGTTGGGATTTCTGAACCAGCTGAGCAAAAGGAATAAAGGAAATAAGATGACAATAGGGGATGCTGACACTTCAGCAAAAGTGATGATGATAATTTGTTGTTAGATAAACATTCTTTTTAACCTGGGGAGGGCATGATATCAGGAGTGTTTCTAACCTTGTTATTGGCTAGAATCATTCTACACCTGTGCTCACTGAGGAAGGGATTCAAGAAAACTAATCAGAGATGAAGGACTTGGCTCGCTGAAAGACTGCACATGCCGCTTGATGGTGGAACCAACAAGTCTTAGCAGATCCGCATGTGCAAGAGATCTGAGGAGGAAGAGAGGAGAGGGGAACGAGGCTGACTGTCTTTGCAAACATGGAAGATGAAGACCAGTGTTTTGCCTTGACATTAAGACACATGTTCACACCCCACAGCAGAGCAGCATGGTCTGATTGCTGCTTACAGCTTCTGACTCCACCTTCCTGCAGGTGCGGACCTGGGAGGCAGCAGTGGCAGCTCCAGGGGTTGGGGCTCTCTGTGGGAGACACAGATTGTATTCCCAGCTCTTGGCTTTGGATGGGCCTAGTCCTGGTTGTTGCAGGCATTTAAGAACATGAAACAGAGAGGGAGAGCTAACTCACTTGGAGTTTATGTCTCATCTTCCTATATTAATTGATTAAAATTATTATTTTTATTTTGATGGTATTTACATAGTTGGTTAGGGTGATAAGGGTCAAGGGCTACAGAAAAGTGGTTGAGATCACCATTTCCACATTCTTTTTTTTCCCTTCCTGTATCTGGGGGAAAAGGGGAGCTAAGGAGAGAAGCCACACTGCCTCCCAAATGCTTCTGCAAGCTAGGATGGAAGACAGCCACTTACTACCCCAGGGTCCCTGATGTTGGCCGTGCTCCTAGGGTCCTGCTGATGAGGTTTTGATAGTTCAACTGTTTCGAATTACTGCCAATTTCACCACTCCAAGCATGATTAAATCTTTCCAGAGTCCATTGGGTGACATAGTCCACTTTAGAGTTTCCACTTGCCCAGGTATTTGCTACCAATGCTTGGCTGGGGTAATTGATCAATTTATTCTGTCCTCCATCCTCTGTGGTGGTACCAGGTGTTCTCTGTAGACTCCAATGTAAAGCCATATTCTCTATGTGCACCTGGATATGCTGTCCACTGTTAAGCCACTGAGGAGGCCCAGCTCTGACACATATACTCCACGATCAGGCTATGCAACCTGCAATTCTTTCCATGGTTGGGATTCTGAGTCCAGCAATTCAGTTGGGGTGATCCCCATAGAAACTTCATCTGAGGTGACCCCAAACCTGATTCTTGTGTGTGTTTGCCAATACAGGGTCTGGCACAGTCTGTCACCCCAATCAGCTTATGTACATGCTGCTGATTGCAATTGCTGGGTCAGCTCTGTCTCCAGCCATGTCTTCTACACAAACCAATGGGTGTTACAGTTCAATATGTCCTGCCCAACACACTCAGCCTTCACATACGCCAGGGGGAACTGCAGTCTAGTCAGAGTGACCTGCAATAACCCCTATCATATCTGCCCCCTGTCCTGGTTCCTGTGGCTTGCTGGTGCGTACAGCAGACTAGTCCTGTCTGTCGCATATCTCATTCAGCTCTCATGCATGTCAATGAACTTTGAAGCCTCGTTCAACCCAACCAGCCCCACTAGCCAGCCCATACAAATGCTGGCAGGTGTCACTCTCTGTCTAGTCATGGCTGTCCAGTCCTGGTTCTCATGCTCACCAGTGGGAGTGACAATCCAGAAGGGAGGTAGCCATTATTTCCCTTTTGGGTTGCCACTCCCACTGCTGGAACATGCACTGTCCAGGTGGTTCTATAGTTTAGCTTAACAGAATTTGCCCCCATGCCAGCCTCTGCCTGCTGATGCTATGGCAAAGCCCAACCAACCCACACCCACTCTGACTTATGCATGTACCAGTAAGAACAACCACCCAGCCTGACTTTGCCCTGATTTTGCTCACATTAGGCCAACAGGTATTGTAGCCCTGCCTGGCCTGATCTTCGCCCATCCCAACTCATGCTCTCCAATGGAAGTGGTGGTCCAGCAGGGGAACCCTCCATAGACCCTCCTACCAGCTTTGCCCCTTCCCCCATGGATCTCACATGTGCTGGATGGGTGCTGTGGCCCAGTCTGGCATGGCCCACCTCACCTTGATATTTGCCAGTGGATG